TCTGCACCTCAATGCTTATTGCAGCTCAATTCACAATAGCTAAGACATGGAATCAACCTAAATGCCCATCAACAAAAGACTGGATAAAGAAATTATGGGATATATACTCTATAGAGTACTATACAGCAGTAAAAAACAATAAAGTCTTGACATTTCAATGCAACAAGCTTTATACTCTAATGATTTGAAAGTCACTCTCTCAGGATAATATCAAGGACTATTTAGGATGACACTTCAGAAAATTCATGAAAAAACAGAATTAAAAGATAAGCTTATTTCACTGCAAAAATTTTTGAAATTCATGCATAGTTTTCTCACAATGTGCATTTTATATGAACTTTTAAAAATGTTTACTGGGGCTGGCACTATGGTGTTCTAGGTTAGACTTCCTCCTGTGGCGCCTGCATCCCATATAGGCACAGCTTCGAATCCTGGCTACTCCACTTCTGATCCATGCCCCTGTTAATGTGCTTTGGAAAGGAGCAGAGGATGGCCCAAGTCCTAGAGCCCCTGAACCCATGTGGGAGACCCAGAATAAGCTCCTGGATCCTGGCTTCACATTAGCTCAGCTCTGGCCATTGTGGTCATGTGGGAAGAGAACCCTGTAGATGCAAGACCTCTCTGTAACTCTGCCTCTTAAATAAACAAATCTTTTGAAAAATATTTACTTATTTATTTTCATATACTTGAAAGGCATAGAGACAGAGAAAGAGAGATCTTCCATCTATTTGTTTACTCCCTAAATGCCCACAACAGCCAGGGCTGGGCCAGGCCAAAGCCAGAGGCCTAGAATTCCATCTAGATCTCCCAAGTGGGTAGTAGGAGCCTAAGTCCTTGAGCCATCATCTGCTGCTTCCCAGGATGCATTGGCAGGAAGCTGGGTTGGAAGCATGGTCACTGGAATGCAAACCGGCACTCCCATATAAGATACAGGCATTGTAAGCAGTAGCTTAACCTGTTGCACCACAAGGCCTACTCTGTTTCATTCCCTTTTGAAGACCTCTTACATACATAGATTTTAAAATTTTTGTGCCAAAATAAATGCATCTTTTAATTCTGTTTACCATGAACTCTCAGAAATACCTTTGTATTCTAAGGAATTTCGGGAGAGAAAGTTATACATTTTGGGAAGCTGAAGTAGAGAATAAGTGAGTTCACTTGCATCATCTCTATGGTGTGAGAAGATTGATAGGTCATGAAAAAGAGCACAAGTGGCCCAATTCAGGGTGTGCACTGGTTGAAAAAGCCATAGAGGTGAGTGTTTGGCACAGCTGTTAAGATGCCCACATGCCATATTGGGGTATGTGGGTTTCTCTTACCAGCTTCACTCCTGGTTCCAGCGTCCTGCTAATGTGCACCCTGAGAGGCAGCAGGTGATGGCTCAGGTAGTTGAGTTCCTGCCACCCATGTGGGAGACCTAGGTGTAGTTCCAGGCTTCTGGCTTTGGTTAGGACCAGGCTATTGCAGGCATTTAAGGGAGTGTACCTAATGATGAGAGACCTCTTTCTGCATCTCTCTCTCTCTCTCTCAAATAAATAAAAAATAAATAATTTTTTTAAAAATGTAAAGCCATACCTGGAGATGGAAATAATAAGACGACGGTGCAGACCCTAGGTGTCACAAATTGGCAACCACAATAGTGCCCAATAGTATTGTCAAGAAACACCTGAGGAAGGAAAGAAGGCTAAGGAGAAAGGTGAGGTGAATAATATGTGGCTATAGTGGAAAAGGCTTAGAAAAAGGAACTAGAAGTCAACTGATTGGCCAGTCCACCAACAATCAAAGAAATGTCTGTGGCATATCCTGCACTGAGATGGGTTTGGTACTTGCAACTCCCCCTTATAAAGCTATTGCTTTCTCACAAGTCCCAACCAGGACTTTCATCTTTGCCTACTCCTCAAGTTGAAGTAGGCATGAAGTTGAAAAGGGATCCCTCTTTGCTTGGAAGGAATGGGATTTGGAGGGCTTAGTGGCAGTTTTTAAGCCCTTCCCAAAGGAGCTGGGGTCAGCCACTTGTCCTCACTGATGTGCCTGAAAAACAAAGACATCTGTGACTTTTAAAAGAATTGGTTGAGTTAAACGTGACTGGATAAGTCACCGTGGGGTAAATCAGGGCTTTGTTACTGTACTATAAACTCTCCCCTTAACACCAACATTGTCATCAGGCCAGGTAGTGAACATAGCCACTGCATGTCCATTTCCCATAAGTAGCTCCAGCACTCCCTGGGGAGAAGCTATTCTGACTTCAGATAACCACACACAGGTCTGGCAAGAAATATTTAGGTGGTAGAGGAGCTGGAAAGACCTCTTAGAGCACCATTAGTTCCTTTATCCTGATTTTTAATTTTTAGAAATTTATTTGAAAGGCAGAGGGGCAGACAGAGTGCTCATATCGTTTGATTCATTCCCCCAAATGCAAACAACAGTCAGGACTGCACCAGGCCAAAGCTGGGAGCCAGGAACTCCATCCAGCCATGTGGGTGGCAGGGACTCAATTCCCTGAGCCATTACCTGCTGCCTCCTAGGTTGTGCATCAGTCGAAAGCTTGAATAGGCAGAACTGGAACTTGAACTCCAACATGGGATGCAGGTGTCCCATGAAGCAGCCCAGCCACTGTACCAAATGCCCACCCCATTCTGATTTTATATCATTCAATTACAACACAGTATACAAATCTATCTGGTAAGCTTTGTCTCTGAACGGAACTCCTGAGCAAGGAGTTGGCCTGTGCTGAAAGCAGCTGGCTCAGGCCTGGATTTGGGTGTTCAGATTTGCAATAAGATAAGCCATTCTGGAGTTCTGTCCTGCTTGGGTAAGCTGACTCTCAGGGTTTTAGAATCACAAAGCATAGAAACACTTTACCTTCACCAACCTACCTCTTTGTCTTCTCCCACCTGACAGCCCCAGTGCTGACCGTTCACAATGTCTCTGTTCAGATACACCTTGCTCTTCTCTACATCACTTGCTTATCCCAGTGAACTTTACTTTGCATCCCAGATTGGTTTTCAAAACTGACTCTTGTAGAAATCTCTCACCAGAGTGCCCTGTTGTGTATTCTGTTGTGGCAATGAATAATCATTAGTACTTATTGTCCAGTAGTTGGCTGTTTACAGTGACTGAGAAAGTATTATTCACTGCTTTTTATAATTTAAATGCCTCAAACTCACTTAACCATTCATCAATAGTAATAGAAAATGACGTCAGTCACTTTGAGAAACAGTGACTTGATCAGCCCTTGTCCTGACTGTTGATGAACAACTTAATACTTTATTCCTTTTAGTATTTTTTTGTTCTACTTAATACTATTGGTTGAACTCTGTAATTAACACACAATTATTCTTAGGTGTTGAAATTTAACTGAAAAGTGATCCCTGTTAAATATAAGAGTGGGAATACGAGAAAGAGGAGATGTACAATTTGGGACATGCTCAATCGGACTTGCCCCAAATGGTAGAGTTAGAAATGTGCCAGGGGATTCCAATTCAATCCCATCAAGGTGGCATGTACCAATTCCATCTCACGAGTCCAAGTGATCAATTTCTGTTCACAATTGATCATAATGATAGGATTAAGAGTCAAAGG